ACACCCCCGGGGACACCCCCTCGCCCCCACCCGGGCCGGCCTGAGGTCCGCGATTGCGGCACTAAGGCTGCCCGGAGGTAACCAAAAGGGAACTGAGGCTATCCCACAGCCAGGCCGTGGGGCTGGGGTGGGGCCTGGGAGCTGAAGGTGGGGGACGCGCGACAGTCACCTGTGGGCACGTCCCCGAGGCAAGGCCCAGAGTCCCAGGGCTGGAGGGGACTCAGCCTGCCCAGCCTCGGCCCATCGGCCCGCTGCCAGGTTCTTGGCCGACAATGACACGAGTGCAACCCCCACTTTCCCTGACCTCCTAAATAAAAACTCGTTTCATGCATGGAGGTCTCCAAACCTGCGTGGCCCGGCGTGGGTCGGGCCAGGTGCTCTCGGCGTGGCTGGTGGGCGAGAGGGCAGCGATAGCCCCAGTCCGCGCCCGCGTCCGCTAGAGGGCGCCCTGGGGTCCCGTAGGTGGCCTGCGCTTAGTGTCGTCCGCCCCAGGCCCGGGAATGGGACACAGCGGGGTGGCGGGAATGGCTGGCTCAGGAGCTCGAGTGAAGGAGGGAGAAGAGGGCAACTCACATCCCAGGCTGGGTCCAGATCTGGGAATAAAAGTCTAGCAGGAGAGAATTTCCAGAAAGCAGTTTTCAGGGGTTCAGCCCCCTGCCTCTGTGAGGGGTGGTCTGACCTCTCCCGGAAGCGGGGACTGAGAAGAGGAGGCGATTGAGATGAAAGATTGATTTGCTCTTGGTCACGTTGGCACCGATGTAGGTCGTCTGGCCTTAGAGACCCAGAGCCAGGCTTATGAAGGATGGCAAGTTTTGCAATCTGTCGCCAAGCGGTCTGTCGGGTGCTGGAGACACCTGAGAGCCGGCTAAGTGGCACAGAGATGGTCACTTCTCAGGGCACGGAGGTTGTGGCTAATGAGGTGGTGGAAAGGAAGGGAGAGATGCTGACAATGGCCGGGGGTTGGGATTCTAGAAGGGAGACCTGGCTCCTTCGCTGCTCCAGGGATGGGTAGGTGCCTCACCACCTTGGCCACATGACATCAACTCTCTCCTACAAATGTTGGGGAACCAAGTGAGATTTGGGCAGGACATGTGGCCTCCCTGGGCTTCAGTTTTGCCATCTGTAAAAGAGAAATAATAACCTTTTCCCATCAGAGATCTAAAATAAAAAACATTCTGCATGTCACAGCATGACAGAAACAGAAGTAATTCTGCCCAATTCTACCTTTGGACTCTGTCAGGGGGCAGCAGTAAGGAGGGAATCTTGTTGCTTCTGCAGAGGGGGAACTTGGTTTATTCAGCACATTTCACAAATGTTGGGCTCTATGTACTGGGCATTGTGCTGGCATTGAGATATAATGATGACTAAGACCTGGTCATTGCCCCCAAGGGGCCTACAAGCTAATGAAACGGATGGTCCTTATCTCCGTAACTAGGAGTTCATTTTTTTTCTCATCCAGCGAGTATTACGTGGCTGCCATGAGCACACACTTCTGTGCTAAGCCCCGTGGAGGACCAGGAAGACTCAGAAGGAATAGCCCTCGAGTTAATGGATGAGAAAGTGCTTTGTAAATTATAATGCTCTGACACAAGTCAAGTTCATTCATCCATCCCACAAACCCTCATTGAGTGCCTGCTTTTGCCAGGCACTGGGTGAAGTGCTGGAAAGACAAAAGAGCTGGGTAAATCCCACAGGGAGCTGGCTGAGGCAACAAACACGGGACCCCAAGGTGATGAGAGCCCTGAGAAAGGGTGGCTGTGATTGCAATCCTCTGAGACTGATGGTGCGTGGAGGGAGGGGGAGGCGGGAGAGGGAAGGAGAGAGGAAGAAACAGCCGTGGAGCTCTGGGAATCGCAGTCGGGTTGGAAAAATTCACACCTCTGAAACAGGTAAGTCCTCACGGAACAGCGTGGTGCTCAGGGGAGCCTGGGCTCTGTGGATGGGGAGGCAGCAAAGGCTGCATGACTGGAAGGGAGCTTAGACTGGGCCCAAGACAGTGGGCATGATTTGAAGAGCAGAGAGAAGGTGCAGGGCTAGCAGGCATGCCCAGGGCTCAGGGACGGACTGCCTGGCTGGAGAAGGTCAGGGCATGAGGTGGGAAGGTGGGCTGGGCTCCCTGTGCACCCATGCAGGAGACTGAAGTATTATTCGGATTCTACCACCCAGGAGTTCTGTGATTTCAGACAACTTGCTTCACCAGCTGTGCCTTGATTTCCTTATGTGTAAGATGTAGTACGTGCCTCGCTGGGCGATTGTGAATACTAAGTGAGCTAATCCAAGCCCAATTCTTGGAATGGAGCTTTGGGTGTATTAAGCACTCAGTGCCTGTTAGTGATCGTTATTTCAAAAGCACTGGGGAGTCTTTGGGGAGAAAGTGGAGGAGCTGAGCTGCTGCACTGGGGCTACTGGGGTAGGGATATGGCCGTGAGCTGCTTTACGTTTTGGGGAACTACTGCAGACATCTCATATAGAAGATACATTCCAAAAAGCTGTTTGTCTTCAGACAGTTTAGCCAGCCGTCAAGTTTCCCTTTGGCTTTCTAATTTCTCTCATGGTTTACTATTGCCTTCAGGATGAATCCAAACTCCTCAGTGTGTCCCAGGCTTGCTGCTCTGTGTCGGCTTCATCGACGGCCACTGGCGCACTGGCAGGCACCTCCTACTCTGGCTACATAGAGGTCCAGGCTGTCTCCGAAGGTCCCCAGGCCTGGGTCTTCGCATGTTTCCTTCACGTGGGGTAGAACTACCTTCCACACTTTGGCTGATTTCTACTTTTCCTTTAAGATTTGGCAGACCCTCAGTCTGAACTTCCAGTGTAGCTCTTTCCACATGGACCAAAATGTTCTGAGTACTCATCCCGTGAGAATTTTCAGGAACAGACTATATTTGATTGTTTCTTGGTAAGCCTGGAACCTGGTACATAGAAAGTGCTCAATAAATCTTTTTTATTTTTATTTATTTATTTATTTTAAAGATGACCGGTAAGGGGATCTCAACCCTTAGCTTGGTGTTGTCAGCACCATGCTCAGCAAGTGAGCCAACCGGCCATCCCTATGTAGGATCCGAACCCGTGGCCGTGGTGTTATCAGCACCGCACTCTACCGAGTGAGCCACAGGCTGGCCCTTTATTTTTATTTTATTTTATTTTATTTTATTTTTTAAAGATGACCGGTAAGGGGATCTTAACCCTTGACTTGGTGTTGTCAGCACCACACTCTCCCAAGTGAGCTAATGAGTGAGCCACAGGCTGGCCCTTTATTTTTATTTTATTTTATTTTATTTTTTAAAGATGACCGGTAAGGGGATCTTAACCCTTGACTTGGTGTTGTCAGCACCACACTCTCCCAAGTGAGCTAACCGACCATCCCTATATAGGGATCCGAACCCGTGGCCTTGGTGTTATCAGTACCACGCTCTCCCAAGTGAGCTAACCGGCCATCCCTATATAGGGATCTGATCCCATAGCCTTGGTGTTATCAGCACCACACTCTCCCAAGTGAGCCACGGGCCAGCCCCTCAATAAATCTTTAAATAAGGGATTGAGTTGACTTCTATTTTCCATCATTTTTAGATACCACAACCTGCTTTCTCCTAGAATAGCTTTTGGTTTCTTCCTGCAGGGCTCAGGAGTGGCTGTTTAGATGAGATAGAGGGTGTAGATGCTAGGAAGCCCCGTGGTTTGCTATAGATTGTCAGGCCTGCTAATCTGAAGACATGGGAAAGAGAACAAAAACGTTGCTGGGAAATTGGGAGGAGATACCTGGGCCAGTATAGGGCACACTTCCAGGAACCCACTGCTAGGAGAAGTTAGATCCAGGACAGAGCTAAGGCCTTTCCCTTCTGCTGGGGAACTTGAGGGGAGAGAAGCATTATCCAGATCTGGTTCATCTGCTCCACCCTGCTGTTTTCCGTCTAAGGGATTTAGGAGATTCCGGCCTTTTCCTAATCTCTCCCTTTGCAGAATTTCTATGAAGTCAGAATCCCATTTCCAGGCAAAGATGCTCGGTCATGCTCTCCCAAGTGAGCTAACCGGCCATCCCTATATAGGGATCTGATCCCATAGCCTTGGTGTTATCAGCACCACACTCTCCCAAGTGAGCCACGGGCCAGCCCCTCAATAAATCTTTAAATAAGGGATTGAGTTGACTTCTATTTTCCATCATTTTTAGATACCACAACCTGCTTTCTCCTAGAATAGCTTTTGGTTTCTTCCTGCAGGGCTCAGGAGTGGCTGTTTAGATGAGATAGAGGGTGTAGATGCTAGGAAGCCCCGNCCCTTCTGCTGGGGAACTTGAGGGGAGAGAAGCATTATCCAGATCTGGTTCATCTGCTCCACCCTGCTGTTTTCCGTCTAAGGGATTTAGGAGATTCCGGCCTTTTCCTAATCTCTCCCTTTGCAGAATTTCTATGAAGTCAGAATCCCATTTCCAGGCAAAGATGCTCGGTCATAAAGATAATAGAGATACTCATTCATGATGAGGGGAAGTACACAGTGGTTTCAGCCGCCTGCCGGGCTCCACTTACTCATGGTATGTGACAGATGCTAGCTCTTCCCCAGACCTCACAGATGGGAAGGAGCCCTGGTGCCCGCGGGGTGGTCGCAGGAAGCTGTAGCATGGCTTGGTGAACACAAGGTTCCCTGCTTGCCAGCCTGGGGTGAGAGCTAAGATTGCCATTGCCTGTGGCTGCATCTGCAGCCAGCTGGGTTAGGAGACTGGCCTCAGACCACAGCGTTGCCAAACGCCAAGCCCAAGGCCTCCCGGTCTTCAAGACTGCTGGGCTATTCAGCACGCAAGGAGGCAGCTGGGTTTGACTGCTCTACCAGTTACTCTGCTGTGCCTGGGGTACAATGGTGGGGAAACCAATTTGATTCCCTCCCTTTTGGAGCTTGTAGTCTAGTGTCGGTG